TGTTGTGGATGATGTGGATGGAGAGGAACAGCAGGAGTTTCAAAAATAATCGCCATCCCATTCAGTGGATATAGGACAATTTATTGACCACAATCATAGCATGGGAAAGGACATGGAGGGCGTGTTTGATAACAGGAAGTGTCTTCCTGGAACTTGGAACTTACCTAATACTGTTCATGTTTTGTGTTTGGTAAAAAAACTGAAGTCAAATTGAGAACTCCACTATACTATTCATGTTCCCATCTTTGTGTGTTAAAAAAGTTCCGACCAAAAAGTCGGAACTTGAAATTAAAAATTTGGATAAAACTTCATCCCCTAAAAAAATTTTCCCTAGGATTTCTTCTCCTGTTCTTCGCTCGTGCTGAGCCACCCCTCACTTGGCACTGCCGCTTACAGCCAGAGCTAAACCCTCATCCCTCGCTAGGGTGAGAAGGAGGTCAAAGCTAGAGAGAGAAAGAGCGTAGAGAGACAAAATGAGGGAAAGAGCATCCACATAGGGCAGGCGGGGATTCAAGTGGGGAATTCGTGTTGGGAGCTTTACTGTCTCGAGCATGGGATTCAGGCTGATGGGATCATGCCTAGGTTTGTTGTAGATCTTCTCTTCTTCTCTGCTATAGGTCTTCTCTTTTTCTTTTCTTTTTGATTGGAAGGCAGTGATTTTGAAAGTATTTATTTTTATTTTGTCGGTTTTAAGTTTTTTAGGGTTCAAATCAGATGAAACTGCTCTAATTTCTTTTAACTTTTGAAGGATTTTACATTTTTTATTTTGACAGAGTTAGTCATGTTTCTCCTTGATGAATTTTTTATTTTCTTGATTTTACTATTATTCCATAGAATTAGGTGATAAATCGTACATCTGCAACAAAATTTGAAGGAATGTGTTCAATTTTTAAGGTGAATTTGAGTGGAGTGGTCCTGCTTTTCCTGAATTCAAATATTATTGTTGTTGTTTGCTGTTTTTGTTGACAATTTAAGTGGGATCTGTAATGTTTGATAAAAAAAGAATGAATTGGGATTTATGAACTATTTATTACCTTTTTGCTTTTTTCTCTTTGATGAATGCTTTATTTTATTGATTTCACTATTATTCCATGGAATTGAGGTGATAAATCGTTGATCTGGGAAAAAATTTCAAGGAATTTGATCAATTTTCAAGGTGAACTTGAGTGTAGTGCCCTGCTTTTCCTGAATTCAAATATTATTGTTGTTGTTTGCTGTTCTTGTTGGCAATTTTAAGTGGGATCTGTAATGTTTGATAATAAAAACAATAATTGGGGTTTGTGAACTATTTATTACCTTTTTGCTTTTTTCTCTTTGGTTAAAACTTGCGGATTGCTGTGCATTGGGTTCTTCCTTCAAGTTGGGATGCATGAATCTATGAATTTTCAGTTTCAATGATTTTTTTCCCCTGTAAGATGTAATTTCTAATTTTTAAATTTCTTTTTTAACTGATGAATTATCATTTTGTGTGAGATTTTGTACTGATTAAGTATGGATGTTCCTGTTTCATACTCAGTGCTGATTTTTAATGTTTTTCTTGAGTCATGAGGATTTAGTGTTTGTCATGTGACTATCTCGTATAACTTATGCTATTGTTTATTTATAGAGGTAAAGAGGCTTTGTTTTTCCTGGAAACTTATGCTTTTGAAGCAGCTGGTTGTGTGATCTGTGAGGAGTTTGAGTCCCAAGGCTTTGATAACTTAACTTGCTTGTTCTCATCCCTGTCGTTTATTTAGGGTGTTTCTGTCTATTAGTACTCTTTCTATGAGGCAACAATTGATATAATTTTAAATTTGTTGACTACTGACTTTTATTATAATATTCAGCTTTTTTACAACAAAAATCGAGTAGCATTTCACTACTTTAATATGCTGAATTTTCCCAAAAAATTGCATAGTTTTTAGGTTGGGATATGGATGCATCAGTGGTGAATATAAGTAGTGCTCAAGTTATTACAGAAAAATAATATTGTACTTTACTTTCAATTGTTATTGTATTATAAAAAATAATATTCTACAAATTAATAAAAAATAAATAATATCTATGTCTCAATTTTAACATTTACATCTTGCCTATTACTTAAGTTAATCCAATACAGATACCCAGTTCTTCTTTAACTTCCCAGGAGGTTATCAAAAACAGAAACCACGAACTTCTTAACTTCCCAGAAACCATGAACTTCTTAACTTCCCAAGAGGTTATCAAACATAGAAAACATAAACTTCTTAACTTCCTAAGGATGTTATCAAACACAGAAACCAGGAACTTCTTCAGGAACTACTAATTCTTCAATAACTTCCAATTTCCAGTTCATGGTCTTGCTTCCAGTTATCAAACAGGCCCGGAAGGAAGTCTGAAATATTCTTCAAATGACTATGAAGAATTAATTCGAGACCATAGCCAATGCCACACTGCCTAGGAAGAAGAGTGCTCGCCAGTAGACTCCCCAACTGAGGTATGAAACTCAACTTTGATTGGCCAGCAGACATTGGAGGAGTCCTTTGAGACCAGCAAGGAAATACACAAGTGTTATTTTCTGGATCACTGGGATGATGGGACTCCAATGAGGCTGAGGCAAGAGCTCTGTTGTTGGGATTGAGGAGATTATAATAAAAGGGGATTCTAAAAATGTTATTACATAGGTTTCTGGACAAAAAGAATGCCCAAGGAGGCCACATAATGTGTTGGAAGAAATTTTTTCTTTTGATAGAAATCTCGTTCTCTCACAAGGGGGAGACAAATGAGTTTGTGGACTTCCTAGCATGAGGAGTACAAAAAACAAATTTATAAGTCAATCTTTTCAGCTCTCACTATTGTACTTACAAGAGTTTGTAAACCACTTTTGTGAATCCATTTTTTAGTCAATGAAGCTACTCTAACAATCAAAAGGATATATTGCAATAGGGAAAAATTCTATGTTGTAGGCTACATAATGTATTTTGAAGAAATTTTTTCTTTGATAGAAATCTCGTTCTCTCACAAGGGGGAGACGAATGAGTTTGTGGACTTCCTAGCATGAGGAGTACAAAAAACAAACTTAGAAGTCAATCTTTTCAGCTCTTAGAATTGTACTTACAAGAGTCTGTAAACCACTTTTGTAAATCCATTTTTTAGTCAATGAACCTACGCTAACAATCAAAAGAATAAATTGCAATAAGGAAAAATTCTATGTTGATTTTTTTTTTGCGCCTTTGGACATTAAGTAATGCTTGTTATTAGATGTTCCTTTCTAGCCTCCAACCGGCAAAAGAGATCATACTAGTAGAAAATTTTAGAACTGCCCAGTATCATGAAACATAAGATATATTACATAATATGGGATGCAAGCAGACAAGACCCTAGAGAATCTTCGCATGCCAAAATTTGGAATATAATGAAATCATGAAACTCATGTCCAGACATGTTTGCATGAATAATTCCATTGGATCTCTAAGGATTAAATATCTCATGCAATACGTAAAACACTTTTTTGCTTTGGGGTTTGATTACAGTTATATGTGATTGGAGAATGAATTCACCAATTTAGATGTGTCTTTACTTTGCTAGTTCATAGGTAACCGTCTAGTTAGTTCAGTGATAGGATTCGAACTTGGGATAGTGTCATAATCAACAACACCATAAACAATCAAGACCAAGTCTAGATTCTAATTGATAGTTAACATCAATGATAGAAGCATACATCTTGTTTCCCAAAGTATCCATTAAGGTGTCAACAAATCATCCCTGCCCACACCATCTCTAGCTAAAGGATTTATTTTTGAAGTGGTTATCCCGAAGTACAGTGAAGCCTGCGACCAATCTCTAATATCACTCTTCTAAAATATCTATTATCTTCCGTGGCTATGGGGAGATGCCACTATCCAAACAAATGACATTGAGATAATCTCCCCTTAAGGAAGACACAACTATAGAATATCCCAGTGCTAGCAAGGTGAGCACAAGCCTCTTCCTCTGCCAAGTCACAAATTATAGCTGGCCTACGAAAAAGTTGTGATTTGCTCCAACCTCATGGACATGACAACACCTGACTGGCCAAGATTTTCAATACAAAAACTTCCAAGATCTAGTAAGGGGGTTATCCAATGAAAAAGATCATATAGAAACCCTCTGGGACTCATTATGTACAACCGACAGTCACTCTAGCCAAAGCTCAATGGCTATAATGCCTTTGCACTCATTAAGGATGATGGCACATGGCCCTAGAGGTCAAAGCAATCCACTCACAAATGTGGGGGACAACAATAGAAGAAGTTGTAAGGATCCTGTGGTTTCTCTTTCAAACACGTTCCCCTGAAGATAAACAGATGGCAAATCCTCCAAAGAAATGGCCTCTTTGAGAACCAATGGGATAGGTCTTGCAGCTGGTAAAGCTCCAACCAGGTGGCAAGACGTCTAATGGAGCCCAAGAAATGCTAGATGGTGTTGGAGGCAGGGAAATGGATTAGTGGAGGGAAAGGTAATCGGTTGCCCCGGGTGGTCAGAGTAGCGGCACCACAACGTGACATCAAGGGTTCTGGTCCGACCTCGTTAACATGTCAAGGAAAAAGTAATATGGTGTCATCATTGCAAAAAACACGAACTTCAACAATTAGAAACCATTATGCTGCAAGTAGTAGCCAATCAACACCATGTCAAGGGACTCGCAAAACAAAGACTAAAGGGAGCGAGAAGGGCACGAACATGAGAAGTAAAATCAAAAGATTCAGCAATACATAGAAGCACTCTAGCAAAAGAACTGAGTGTGCCCTTTCCAAACCAATCAAGCACCCCTATAAGGAGATGTGAGAATCGGCAGATTTTGATCATCTGGGAGAACAATTCAAGATGGCCACTAGTTTTATGAGATGCAAACACCACCAAACAAGGTAAGGTAATGAAGGTGCTATTTATTTATGATAATTAACATCATGTTATGTTTCGATTTCATAAATTACCATGCAATTAGCAATTTGTAGTTGCCATGAGATCAAAAAGCAATGAGCATAAGCTAAATAAATCACCTCAAAGATGCAATCTCCCATGTAGGCTAAGGCTGCTGCCTTATATCGTGATCGCGGAGTCTTAACATTCGGTGCAGCGGGCAACCATCTCTCGTAACCCAAATAGGCGTCCTCAGATTTCCCTATCGTATGCGGATTCTCATTAGAATTAAAACCCTGAACACAATCAAATAGCAAGTAGAAATTCAAAGTCGAACACTAATAACAAAATAGAAAATCAACAAGACCATCGCAAAAGCAGATTTCCCAAACCTAGTAGAGAGAAAAAAACATTGAACTGTCACTGCAATTTGAAAAGCAAAGCAATGAATTTAATAGGAGGGTATACCTTGAGTTTCGTGGTGCGGGAGACTGAGAAGCTCGGAAACGTGAGCTCTCAAATTAGGAGAAGAGGGTGCTCCGTTTTTTTGGGGTAGGAGAGCAGGGCGTGGTTTCTGTTTCTCTATCTTGCTGGGCTTTGCAGTCGGTTTGGTGGTTATGATAGGAGTTTGTCCTCTGTCGACCTGCCACGATACTCTGCATAGCCCATGATGGTGAACCTGAGAGAGATTCAATACTACACCACCTCCAATCATCTCTGCCCCTCTCTGTGCTGTATCGCTTCCCGATCGACTCTTCTCCCGCCACTTACTGGAATGAATTCCTTTTTGTTAAAGAAAATTATTTCATGCGGGCTGGACCGCATTTCTACATATGCAGTCCAAAAAAAGTCTTAAAGCATCCATCTGGACGCTAGTAGGTGTTGCATCTTAAAAAATAAAAAATAAAAAATAAAAAAATAAATGGAAATTAACGGTCTAAATTTTTTTTACTAGAATAATTATTTTTAGTTTTTAAAAAAAAATTATTTTTCATATTCATAATTTCTAAACATTTAATCTGATTAAATGTCCTTAAAAATTACGTGTTAAAATCCATCTCAAAAATAGATTTATTAAGAGGCCTTCTACATATGCGGGCTTGACCGCGTAAATATGGGATTTATTTATTAATCTTTGTTTTTGAGAGCACATATATTGCAGGCTCCCGTCAGTGCTGTGGGGTAGCACGTACACTTACTCCGATCTGGTGGAGCGAGGAATTCCTTTATCTGAAAATTGGAATGCCGAAAATGGCAACTTTAACGGTAAATCCCCTGGAGAAGAGTGTCCCAACGTTGGAGTGCCTCCATTTGATCATCTCCACCTCCATATGCATGTGGATATCAGCAGATAAAATAATTTTAGGTCTTAAAAAATAAAGCATCTCATAATAAGCTATTTGGATAGGATATTATTAAGATTTTTAAGTATTTATAAATATGCTCACTCTGTATAACTTTAAAATTTTAAATTTCATAACTAGGGATTAAAATAGAATTTCAATTGTCATGAGATTTCTGATACCACAACTCATCTCCTAAAAATTTTTAAAGGTGTGTCTCATAAACAGTATCAGGTTTCTCTAAAGAGACTCAATGTCCATTAAACATATGAATATATAGACTTGTCTTTTATAAACAAATTACATATGACAATAATATAAATAAATCAGATACACATAAACTATACCCAGATTTACCATAAAATACAAGACATGTGTCTATATATATGATGATTACAATATAAACTTTCAATATCAACCTGATAAACAATATATACTTTCCTTTCACACTCTCCCTCAAACTGAAGATGTTATGAGGGAGAGCAGTTGGAGTTTGAACACTACTTCTGGAAACAAGTGTTAACAGATATGGGAACAGCCACATCTAGGCTCATGGTCCCGGTTATATTATTTCCCGAGACATTGTTGACTCTGAGCCTCACATGAATAAAGACAGTAAATGGTACATCAGTACTGAGGAATGGCCCCATGCTAAATACCCGCCATGGGCTCATCTGAAAGTAATATCAGGATCAACTTGAGTTCTTTCAAAACTGCTTGAGAAACATGGATATTTCTTGAGGAAATTTATAATCAGACTAACTGAGCACGAAAGTATCAGCTAGTTCAAGAACTTTGCTCCCTCAAACAGGGAGAGCAATCAATTCAAGATTTTTACTCCACCATAAAGTCACTTTGGGATGCTCTTGCAATGATGGAATCTGCAATTGAACATGGTCCTACCGTAGAAATCATCACCAAATCTCGAGAGGACTTTCATGTTATTGAATTCTTAATAGCACTGCGTCCAGAATTTGAGAGTGTTATAAATGGTCTGGTCCACATAAGCTCGCTCCCCACCTTGAATCAAGCTCTCTTTGAGCAAATTGCAAAAGAAACAAAGATCGAATCTTAACTCAAGTTTTAAAGGAAACACTATTTTTGTGGCAACTCGACCTTATAAGTTTAATGTGCTTAAACAAAATCAGCGCAATTCGCATTATCTTCCTCCCAAGAACATGCAATCCATCAGATGTAACTACTGTAAAGAACTGGGATATTTCAAACATACTTACCCAAATAAGAAGAAACTCGTCTTTACTGGTGTTGTTGATACAAGCCAACCATTGATTCAGCACACACTAACTCAAATTGACGGTCCCAGTCCTACTCTTGCTTCACCATCGGTGACATTGACCTTGGAACAAGTACAATTTATGCTTTCCCAATCACATCTGGCCTCAGAGCCCACCCCCACCTTTAAGGTAACTTTGTTTCTACCTCTTGGCTGCTTGACTCAGGCGCTTCTCACTATATGACCTCCAATGTGTCAATCTTAGTTGATTGTAAGTCTTTTTCTAAAACTATCTATACTACTTATGGGACCACTACGAAAATATCTAAAATAGGCTCTATATCTCTTACTTCTGACCTTTTTGGTAAATTCAGAATTTCTAATGTTTACTATGTTCCTTCTCTTGCCATGAATTTATTATCTGTCGATCAAAGTACCTGTTCCAATTGTAATGTTGTTTTTTTTCCATATTCATGTTACATACAGGATCAGCAATCAAGGCAATTGATTAGGACTGAGCGTAAAGTTGGCAATTTGTACTACCTGGACTATCTGCATATGGCAAACTCTTCTGTCTGTGTTGTTTCTACTGTTGATGACACATCCATGTGGCATCAACGTCTTGGTCACATTTCTGCTTCGCATTTACAATCTTTATTTTCTTGAAATGTGCTTGATCCTATTAAACATAAATTTTTTATTGATGTCCAACATTGTGCAATTTGCAAAATAGCTAAGTCTCATGCTTTACCTTTTTCTTAGAGTACTTCGGTTTTTCTTTTTATGTTTGATCTTATTCATACTAATGTGTGGGGTCCTGCACCTATTCCATCTAATTGAGGGTCTCATTATTTTGTAACTTTTATTGATGATCATATTCGTTATGCATGGGTTTTTTTTATGAATACTCACACTAAACTTTTTCAAATCTTCACTCAGTTTTATTCATATGTCGAAACCCAGTTCTCTACTAAAATCAAAGCCCTGCGCTTAAATTCTAGAAGAGAATATGTCAGTGGGTTGCTTAAGCAATTCTTGGTTAATCACAACATTCAACACCACAAAACATGTCCTTATACACCAGAACAAAATGGTATTGCTGAACATAAAAATCATCATATCTTAAAAACCACAAGATCCCTTCTTTTTTCTACATCTATCCCAAAAGAATTTTGGGCAGAAACGGTTCGTACCTCAGTCTTCCTCATCAACATCATGCCATCCTTCATTTTATCTGGTGAAACACTTTTCCAAAAATTGCTTCCACGACTACCCGATTATTCTCTCCTATGTGTATTTGGCTACACTTATTTTGTTTTGTTACCTCCAACTGAGAGAGATAAGTTGTCTCAAAAGTCTATTAAATGTTGATTTATTGGTTACCCTTATCATAAAAAAGGATATAGGTGATGACCATGTGACCAAAAGACTCTGGGTATCCCGACATATGGTGTTTTCTGAGCACATTTCATTCTTTGTTAATAACAATACTTCCTCACATTCTCACCTTTCTTTTTTGGTCCCCTTCTCTGCTTCTATTCCTCCTTCCTCTGGTCATTCCACCTGTGTCATTCCTTTTGAAGTCCAAGAAGAAATTCCATCATCTGATGCTGATAGTCCATATCAAAACCCTACACATGTTGATCCTCTGCCGCTCCTTGCTCTTAGACGGAGTACCCAGGTATCTGTTCCACCTTTAACTTGCTGATTATGAAACCTTCTTACCTCAACACCACTCATTCCTTGCCTCTATTTATTCTTTTTCTGAACCTCAGACCTACAAAGATGCTGCAAGTCAACCTGAGTGGCAACAAGCCATGACCGATGAGTTGAATGCTCTCTAGCATATGCAAACTTGGGACCTGGTACCTCTCCCAAAAAGAAAAAATGTTATCGGTTGTCGATGGGTATATAAAATTAAAACTAATATAGATGACAGTCTAGAATGATACAAAGCCCGCATGGTAACAAAAGGTTACAATCAACACTATGGTATTGACTTTGCAGAGACTTTTGCTCCAATTGCTCATATGACTACAGTTCGAACACTGATCTCAGCGGCTTCTATTCATCAATGTCCTCTCTATCAATTGGATGTCAAAAATGTTTTTTCTCAATGGTGATCTTGATACAGATGTCTATATAAAGTTGCTTCCTTGTGTTGTGGATCCTCACAACCGCGTATGTAAACTTCGACGGGTCTTATATGGACTCAAACAAGCACCTCGTGCTTGGTTTGAGAAATTTCGTAATGAAGTTCTTTCGGTTGGCTTTCGACAAAGTTATCATGATCCAACACTCTTCGTGTCTAAAACTTCTGTTAGCCTGGTTCTCTTGTTACTCTACGTCGACGACATGATTATCTCTGGCAATGATATGGGTACAATTCAGAAAATCAAACAGAAGCTAAATAGCACATTTGAAATAAAAGACTTGGGTTTCTTACAGTATTTCCTTGGGCTCGAAGTTGCTTATTTTCTTCATGGCTACCTATTGTCCCAACTCAAATATGCTTTAGAGATTATTTCTCAAGCTTGACTCCAGAATGATACAAAAAGGGTTGATACCCCTCTTGAGGTCAATACCAAGTTTCAGGCTACCGATGGTGAAGCTCTTTCTGATCCAACCTTTTATAGGCAACTGGTTGGGAAACTGATATATCTAACCATGTCACGCCCCGATATTGCTTATGTTGTACATATGGTTAGTCATTTTTTTAATGCCCCACGTTCTGTACATCTCACTGCTATTTTGCGTATCATTCGTTATAACAGGGATACCCGTCACCATGCCTTATTCTTCTCCTCTTCTACCTCACTTGAGCTGGCATATACAGACTTTGATTTTTGCTGGAAATCCAAGTGATCGCAAATCTACTACAGGATTCTGCACTTTTCTCGATGATTCTCTCTTATCTTGGAAAATCAAGAAACATAAACGAATTTCTCAATCAACTATGGAAGCTGAATATCGGGCTATGGCACAAATCACCACTGAGATTATTTGGCTCCGTTGGCTGCTTGCAGACATGGGTGTCACTATCTCTACTCCTACTTTGCTTTATTGTGATAATAAGAATGCCATTTATATTTCTAAGAATCTTGAGTTTCATGAGCACAAGAAACATATTGAATTTAATTGCCACTATGTTCGTAAAAAATATCTGGTAGGCACAATTTCCTTACCATATGTGCCTACTGCATCACAACTTATCGATTTCTTCACTAAGTCTCATCCTCCCCATTCTTTCTCCTAGTTTGTTTCCAAACTCCCCATGATTCTTCTCCAATCATTTTGAGTTTGAGGGGGAGTGTGAACAGATATGGGAACAACCACAGATATGACAAATCTCTCTACATAGAAACTCTATCCTAGATTTGTTAGTGTCCAATTGTATACTCTGTTTACATAAAAATTGTATCATATAGTTTTTGGTAAGTATTGGGTGTACAGTCTCTATAAAAATATCATTGTATTGTAATATGATTGTATCATTGAATACATAGAATGATTATCTCTAACAATGACCAGTTGGATCTCCAGAACTATAGCATGACCAATAGATGCGATGGTTATCGTGCTCATATTGCTTGATCAACAAGCATAGAAAGCAGCAGTGGATCAACAAGCCTCAGGAATTGAGAACCATATCAAAGTAGGCTCGATCAATCAAACAAACAATTTCAGACAAAGCAATCGAGATAATTGAGAGAACATAATAGCAATTAGAACAGTCAACAGACCTCGGTGTGGATCCGAGACGGATTCAGCAACTCGCAGACCAGAATAGACATGATCGAGTAACAGAAAAATATATCATTAGATAGGATCAAAGTGGGTTTAGGGACATTTATAGAGGGCCAAATCATTATTCAGTGAGCTCATATACTTTTCTGATGAGTTTTTCGGGTAAGTGGGTTGAATCGGGACAAGATCCAATAAGGACAGATTGACAGACTTGATCACAGGAATTGACACAACGAAGATGAATTTTTTTTTCCTTTTATAGGAGGTTTTATCCCAAATTATAGGTCTCAAAAGTAGTCTTGGATTAACTTTATCCGAGGGAGTGAAAGGAAAAATATTTACTCTCACTCTTTTTTGAAATTTTTTCAATATAATAAAACGGGAAAAGTTTATATAGAGCCGAGGCTCTCAACAATCAAATTGTTTTGATGCTCAAATATCTTCAAGTTGATCATCTTGGCATCAAGATGCATGGACATGAGAAAAAATGGATTTCAAGTTTTGGAAATATTACATCTTGTAACACTTTTTTGGACTGTCAATTTTCAAGTTTTTCAACTTTTCATAAATCTGCTCAATCTACACTATTTTTTAAGCTTTAAATTTTATAATTAAAGATGAAAATATATTTTAAAGGAAAAAGTTTATATAGAGACGAGGCTCTAAATAATCAAATTAGAGCCTACCTTAAAAATTTCACTAAAAGATGTTGTTTTAATGCCCAAAGATCTTCAAATTGATCATCTTGACATCAAGATGCATGAACATGAGAAAATAATGGATTTCAAGTTTTGGAAATAGTGTATTTCGTAATGCATTTTTTTACCATCAATTTTCAAGATTTTTAAGTTTTCATAGATATGTTGATTTACAATATTTTTGAAGCTTTAAACTTTATAAATAACGATAAAAATATATTTTAAGGCTATCACAAAGATTTCCAGAATTGAAACCACATTTCTCG